CAACTTGGTTTAATATTAGTTGTCATGCGAGCAAGTTTGGATCCAAATAGTCAGCTAATCTGACACATTTTTTGCGTTATTAATTTCAAAATCATTTAACAATCGCATATCACAATGAAACAATATTGTATAAGACTCAGCAATCCCCAATAAAGGATTGTTATTGCTACAATCTTTCACGGCTCGAAATATTAGCCAGCAATTTTGATGATCACAATATCTTGCCACTTTTTCCTAGATAACAAATCGATGAAAAATCTACAACATGAATTAAGCCACAATTTTGGCAGTAGTCCAATTGAATGCATCTTTGCAAGGAGATCACGAAATAAAAGACGTGAGTTATTTCACGTGTGTATTTGAATTCTTTTAGCACGACGCTACTATGTACAGAAAACAGTAACAGACACAAGTAAACTGTACTTATGTACACAATAAGATGAACACGCACATCTATATAGATACAACAACATGATATATAATGAAGAGGAACGCACATCATATAGTATTCGTAACACGACTCAGGACGACACGCACGGTCAACTGACACGACGATATATACGAATGATTCACAATTGCGCGACAAACCCAGTCATTTACTCAACATAATATTGGTTGATAATATAAACATGCTGACTGTATGAAGTTGTTTTTAGTCTAAGGTTATTATAAAAGGAATGTGAAACACATCGTAAGAAGCGACGGACTTGGGCGACTTCGTAGAAGTCAGCTCTCACGCACACTCACGTACCTCAATATAGGGAGACGAGAACAATACACTAACACCTCTTTTACTTGTATGATAAACCAGAAGCGTACTATCACTGACCACGCAGGACATAACCAATCAAATATTTGTTCATATCAACTGTCAAAAATAACCAAAAATAGGCTTCCCGGTATTTTTTCTTCCCGGTCGCCAGCGGTGAGCTGTTTTTACTGGCGATTGAAATGGCGAATTTCAGACTCGGATAAACTGCATTGCATTGTAGGAGAGTTATGCCGGCTGATACACATGAAATTTCAAAAACTGATAATTTTATAACAAATCCTGTTGAATAAAATGTTCAACGCATTCCAATAATTTCTAACAAAATACTGAAGTTCTGAGCTGTGTAATGGAAGTGAGCTAAAGAACTAACCGAAATTTATAGATCTGGTAAAAATTTATTTGTATAGGGTTCATGTGAGGCGCTTGTTAACAATAAAGGTGCAGTTGATCTAGGCCGTTCAAGAGCAAGCGCATGAGACAAACTTGCTAAGCCGTTCACGACCTTCATTACCTCATAACAAATTTTGCAGTACATAACCCTATCAAGAAATTGTACCGAAGAGAGCCAAACATTAGGAGCAATTATGAGCCGGTAGCACACCAGAAATTACAAGAGTATGTACTGTAGAATTAAATCGAAAACGCGCCATTACGTACGTTTCCTGAGAACTCGTGATTTATTTATGCGTTATGCCTACAAATACTTTTCAAGTTTATCGTACCATATTACCATTTCTCTATGGGTTCAGAACTCACAATTTACTAACGGATTTTGCTAACTAATCTTTTCAGATTTAGCCTGTCCAATTTATTTGCTGTTTCTGTACGTATGTCAAATTTATTTCATATTTATTACAATTCATTTATTGTCTAACCTACAATATGGCTACTTTTAATTGACAAGTAATATATATATATATATATATATATAGATAGTACAGATGCTTCAGCAGAACATAAAAGACACATTACCAAGTCAAAACTTGCACCTGCAGTTAAGTGAAGTTAACACGCATCAAAAGCTGTCAATAAACAACCCGAATGTCATTTTCGGCATCTCAAAGTTTGAACCAGTGAACATTCATATTAAATAACCGAATAACATATTAACAAAATTTCGTTTCTATTCATCGGGACCGACTCACTCGATAGCCAGGCTTTACCTTAGACTACACATAAATTACATGCCATCTTATAAATTGATTAACAAAGCCAAAGCCTAAATTTGGCGCTAAAGAACCACTCGAACATTTGAGGATACAGACGGCAGATCGCGTGGGTAATCACTTACTCACGAACTCTACTTCAATCCACACTGTTAGAAAAATTACCGTTAACGGTATTACCGGCGTTTCAGTGGCCGGTCGGAACGTGAAAAGAAACATCGCGTCGCCGTTTTTATTCTAATTTTACACTAGAAATCCGTTAAACATATGATAAACACGGCGAAACAGTTTATTTTCACGGGGCGACCGGCCACTAGAATGCCGGTGGGACCGTTTTTTCACCGTTTTTTTCTAACAGTCCAATGAGGTCTCCATTAAATCTGCTAATAACGAGCAGTTACTGTAACAGAAAAATTCTTCACAATCCTGCAGTGGAATGCAGTCACTCTAGTCAGGGAAACTGTAATTCAAACGCGTCTGTTATGCATCGATCGTATGTTCACAATACCCGAATGAGGGAGGAAACTTTAAATGGGAAAAAATGATATCTTGAATAGGAAATTGACATCTTGAATGGGAAAGTAACATCTTAAATGGGTAAGTTACATCTTGAATGGAAAAGTGACGTCTTAAATGGGAACCTAAATTCTCTCATTGTGAAGAATAATTACGTAGAAGTGCTCGCTGTCGTCAACAAACTCAGTTCCTGACGAACTGTCCAGCGTTCAAAAACTTCGCTGCGTACTATTCATCCCAGCGAAAAATTCAATAGGTTGTTCATAACATGGACCGATCGTTTAATATATGACGCTGAACAGCACACATTTTGACCTTTTTTATATCCTTGACCCTCTTTTGGGTCGAAACAATAGTGTAATGTGAGTCATTCGGTCGCGCATACTAGGATTTCGTACAGAAAAAGCCCATTATTTTGGTATACTGCTAATATGAATTTTAGGCGAAAAAGTTTCGTTATTATTCGTGCACTTATAAAACTGAAGTTTTGCTTGATGATTATGATGGAAGTTCCAGATTATGATCAGAGCCAGAAATACAGAAAAATTTGTAACGTCACAGATTTAGAACGTCAAATGATGTAGCATGATAATCACAAAAGACGTCGTCACAACTAAGATTCGATATGTTGATTTATTCCCGACTATATAATACGAAGACATCCCGAGACTGCTTCACTATAATATAATTAGCTCTCGATAATAAACCTTTAATGCCATATTCGTGTCGTCATTAAGCACATCATGAGAAGTAAGAAGACGTATGCGTTGGCATGCGTAGTAAAGTGTTTATTGGAGAAGAGAAAGAGGCGAAAAAGGCGAAAATGCGAGATAAAGGGGCGAAAAAGGCGAACCTAATGACCCCTAAAGACCACCAATGGAAGACTGCCGAGCCTAGGTTTGCCTCAACCCAGGATAATAACAATCAACAGTTGCTAACATTACGATGATTCTCGTAAAGCTAATCATTAGTTCAAGTATTGTAGCAAAACCACGAGCTTATCACTCAAATAAAATCATTACTCACTTGTTCCAAAAGTTAGCGCTTCTGCGTGCGCGGAAATGGCGATATCACTAAATCCTTGCACTGAAAAAATTGAATGGGCTAAATTGTCTAAGTAGCGACACATTTTTTACCCACACCACGAGCACAGGGCAGACATAGCCGTGGATTGTTTCTACGCGCTTTGGCCGAATAAAATATTATGCACACCTTTTTAGACAAAGTCTCGCTCATTCCATTGAGTGGAATATCAATGAATCTGAACACGAGCACCAAACCAGATGAAATGCAGTTGGATTCTGACCACATACTATGCAAGGTACCTTTTTCATTCACAAAACAAGGTAAGGATTCTATTCAATTAAATGATAAGCAATCATACGAAGAAGTGACGTTAAAGTCGATATTCAGATCTATAAATTAACCCAGCCTTTCGTCATATGTTGAAAAAACGAGTGAAAGAATTACATACATATATCGTTAGCATAAGATTAGTAATTCTATTACATTTCCTACTCACTGATCAGGATGAACAACTTGATCCACAAGTGAACACTTCTACTAATAGCAAAACTGCAAAAGTAATAATAATCGAGTTATTCTCATGAACTTACATAAACTTCATTCGCTTGCTACCCACATCGATGCAATCATTGCACTTAAAAATGTTGTAGCTTAAAACATTACAAGATCAAATCGTTAGTTCATTACAAGTCGATGTTCAATACTAAAAGTTTATTTTCTATTCCCGGAAAAGTTTTTATTGGAGACAAATAAATGCCGAAGATTAAGTCTGCCGTGGAATACTGCTCAGAACGAGTAAACATAAATAATAATTTATTTAATACAAATATTTATTTCGGAACCAATCCGAAATAAATATTTTAGAGAGAAGCAACAAACAAGATAGGAATGCACTAGCTTCCTGCTTCTTCAACAAGTTTTCCTAGAGAAAAGCACACGTATAATTACTAGGAGCGAGATACTGGATATCGGTTATGTGCGTAGCATTACTTAGTTTTATCTTTGACGCTGACACTTGAACATTCTTATGTTAATACGAGCATTAGCAAAACCTATGACATACACATACATATACAGTCAATAACAACTATGCAATGTAGAACTTTAATGATTATCAGACAAGAACATCGAGAGAAACGTTCACAAAGTCACGCGCTACATTTGATCAGGCCTCGTCAAGTCTACTATGCCTATTGCATTGTAATTTCCTTACACGTTCTTCTTAATCGTCCAATAATAATGCACCTTTAATATTACCATAGAAAAACCAACATCGTTGTCAGTTGAAACTTCTTCTCATTTGAATTATTTTAAGATACTATCCCCAAATGTTAAAAGAAACTATTTTATATACACATTGAATATAAATAAGGATTTCCACCGAAAGTTTCTTCAGGGTTCAAATGAATTGAACAAGAACTGAAGTTCAGTTTAAGTTTAAAGTTGCAACACAAACCAAAACCGGTGCCAGTTGTGGGCACCAGGGCAGTGCCTGGGTGATGACGTCATGAGGTTGGGTGATGACGTCATGAGGTTGGGTGATGACGTCATGAGGTTGGGTGATGACGTCATGAGGTTGGGTGATGACGTCATGAGGTTGTGTGATGACGTCATGAGGTTGGGTGATGACGTCATGATGTTGGGTGATTAGGTCATGAGGTTGGGTGATGAGGTCACGAGGTTCACTCCAGCATCATTCCTTCATTACAAGAACGTATTACCTTCATTATCTCATAACGTATAAACAGAAAAAGTAATCGATATATTTTCTATTGTACTAGAAAATTTTCAGCTAATAAATGAGCTGGTCAATACGACGACTGAGAACATACATCTTCAATTCAAGATCAAGTGCTAATGTTTTAAAGCCATTTTAAACCTTTCGTCATTGTCCTCTAATATGGGAACAAAATTTCGTTTCCGCGATTCGAGTATAAAGTATGTTTATTCCTGGAGTATAATATAACACCTACAAATTTTTCATTTAACTACTATTACTAGCCGAATACAAAAAAGGTGTACATGGATTAAAGTGTAAATTAAGAAAGGCTTTAAGCTTCTGTCAAGGATATTTCTCAGGCGCACATTCACTAAGTCCAACGTATCATGTGAACTTCTCTTAAAATCGAAATAAAAAAAAATTAACTCTGCTTGGGAAAGATCCAAGTATACGTAAGCAGCGTCTGATCAGATAAATTCATACTGTAAAATTAACCTCAAACGAGAAAAATTTCGTAGAAAGTCCCAGGACAATTGTGAAAAGATTATCCTAATAGATAGCGTACGAAAATAGTGACAACGAATTAAATAACTCGAAGGGAGATTAACAAAGGCCTAATGCTGATCAAGCTAATGTAAAAGGTAAAAAATTTCAACAAATTTCCAAAAGAAATCTTGCGAGATTATCAAGAGCATCAACTGAAATATTGAGTCATTTGAAATGTTCAACTTTCAGTCATCACAGAAATATATTTAAACAGCGATTGCCTTGATCGGCTATCAATATTCTTACAATGCGAGTCTGACAAACTCAACAGCGGCTTAAACTGCGGCTTTCAGATTGGGGCTTCGACAAAACTTTCTGGCTTGATTAACCCTTTGCAGGGTGCTCATCCAGCTAAATTCTTGCTGACATCTTTATCTCATTAAATGTTCGAAAGCTCAACTTCTAAATATTCAAGGCATCAGCACTGAACCAAAATTTAAGATGTACAGATAAACCTTTCTTGAGCATCACCTTTTTTTACAATTTTTTATCGCTGAGCTTTATTTTTCCTGTCATTTATAATAAAATTGAATGCAAATTTGCCGATTGCTTTATTATTGACACGACCGTATATAGGTTGACATCACCTACCAATTCTTCATTTAAATCTCGAGATAATAACGTAAGATAAATCAGACATCAGAGTTAGCCGGTAGACCAGCAAATAAAATATAAGAGAATTATTCATTTTTACTTACAAGAAATTATGTTAAAGAGTATTTCCTCCATTATCAACACTATGAACACAAATCCAGATCCTCAGGCTCTAGTTTGGCCTCTGTCAAAGTAAATAATATTACAATGTAATAAGTGTATCGAGTTTAGGTACAATTTTTTACGCAATTCGACAGGGGTTAAAATAAAGAAATATTCTACAGGGGAAATGTTCAAGGTCTTCACAGACATCGTTCACAAACAAATTATATTAAATAAAACAAAAATGAAGGAAGCCACATGAAAAACAACTCCGCTCAGGATTCAATGGCAGATCAACCTCGAAAACGACCAATCATTCCCGCAAATAGAAAAACTGCGTTCAAATTCAATCGCCTTCGTAAATAGTGAACATGCAGCGCATGGAAAATCAAAACTGTTCCATAAGCCAAAAACATAATTAGTAAGCAACAAAATTCATCCCAATAGCGGGACATGTCAAAAACATTCGTGACAACAATTTTCCATATTTTACAGACGCATCTACACGAGATTGTAATCATTATTTACATTTTCAATTGATTTCCAGGATTATCATTTGCCATGGTATCGATATATGGTAGGTAGGAAAATCTCCACGCAATATTCAAGGGAACAAATTTGATGCAATGAAATTATATCATATTTACTGGAGAGAGAGCGTCAGAATAGAGGAGTCACAGCTAATCGTTGGCATTTTATGTTCGTATTGCCACTATAAATTACAGCAATGCAAACATAACATTTAAATAGGAAAGAGTTACCACTCGAGTATTGCCGAAAATGTATTTTCCGATCAAACACGAACACATCAACAACTATCATAAGTCAAAGCCAAAGTCCGTAAGACTACGATTTATCAGGAAAAACGAACAAAAATCGCGAAAACTTTTTTGAGAAATACCCCTAAAAAATTAGAGCAAGTTTCCCGTACGTTTCTGCCTCGATATAATTTAGTACAACAACAAATGAACTAGAAGAACAAAATCTAGAGGTTTCAAATTCAGCTAAAGAAGGACTCATCTCGCCAAGCAAATGACGTTAAAGCAACGTTGATTATGAGTCGATTTTGTTGAAACAACGTTTAATCAACGTTAATTCAACGTCAGAAGACCTGTCGAATTAGGCATTAAATAAATAATTACGATAAAGCACGGTTCGCGGGACACTCGCACTCCAGGGCCTTCCCAGCGACTGGGTCGAAAACGCTTCATGTGAAAAATTCAAGAATTTCTAGGACACACTTTTATTCGGACTATAAGAAATAAAGTCAATAATATATTTCTAATGAATAATGACCGGCGGCTAGATAGCAGTATATAATTTAGACCATAATGTTTACATAAAAAAACATATCATAGGAGGACCACGATAGCCGCGTCTATGTTAAAGGCGCGGTCGTCTCCGGCTGAAGTTGTCAAAAACTCTACGCGTCGCCGACCTGTAAAGTAACGGTATACTTGCCGGGTGCTGCGTCATCCCCATTAGTGTGACTCGTATTCCCCATAACTCCATTAATTTGTCCAGCAACATCCCCACCATCGTCATCTTTAACCCCATTACCAGGGATCACGTCGGAGCTGGTGCAAGGGATCGGTGAGACTCGAACAGCAGCAGCTGTAGGGACCACGAAGTTGTATTGCTGTGATGAAACCTTCGAGTTGAAAGGCATAGCAGAGATTGAGGTGTGGGAACGTGGTGAAGACGTTGAGGTGAGTTGAGGAGCTTGTAGTGATGGCCCACTCACCACAACCGTGGTCACCACACCGCGTCGTTCATGTTTTGTGATGTGATGTCGCTGACCGTGGTGCAGAATCTGTTTCTGCAAGTCATCGTGAGATTCAATAAAATCCAGCTAATAAAAACGATTATTTTACTCGGCCTCATTAGCCCTTAAAAAGGCAGATCTCAATGTAAAATAAAATTGGAAATTTTGAACTTAACAAAACGCATAAAGCAAATATGTTTGACTTGTGTATTTCAACTGAGCCTCGGACTAATAATTTCAGATACACGTGGGGAAAAAAGCCGGGATCGCAGGATTACGTTAGTTTTCAACAATCGTTATCGAGTGAAAGAAACGATTAGGTTTTAAAATGACGATTACTTTTCGAATAATTGTAAGTAATCTGAAAAACAATTTAGAAATTCGTCGATTTATTTGGTAGTCTTGGAAAGGTTTTCATAGGTCACAAGATTAATAGGAATAACATTGTAAGAAATTAACAAATTCGGAGGCCGAGAATAATAAGTTCAGACATGTTAGATGCAACCAAATGAAGCACTCGAAACACAACGAATTTATTAGATGATGCATCGATACTAAAATAGAAACAAGTAATTTTGAATCAGGGATTGAAACGTTGAAACTACGTTAAAATTTGCCCGCAACCAGTATAGATTTTTTGTTCGCCCCTCAATTTAGCTATGGAGAAAAACCTTGTAATTTAGTCAATTCAGGCAATAGGGAATGCAATTTCTGTAACTGGATTTATGTTTTAACAGCAATTCTTAAGAACAAAACTCTAATTCAATTCGAACTTGAAGTGACTTGTGAACAGAACTACAGTCAAAAGACTCATATTTATTTCTTCTGATCGCATATTAACTTTTCGTGTGGTTGACACGTTTGAAGAACTATGATATTGCTTACAAATACATTCACGAATATGGCGATATCGACTGTTTCAAATCAAAAACTTAACTTTAATTTTAAACATAATTTTGTGTGATGAAAGTCTATGCGTCGTTAATGAAGAAAAACGTAACATCGAAGACTAAACCTCGAGGCAAATATGGCCGAAACACCGTTGAATAAGAGCTTATTTCGCAGAAATAACGTTTATTCAAAGTTATTTCAACGTTGACATAATGTTTATTCAACGTTTTTTCAACGTCAGAGGCTTGGTTAATTTATATGGCTTTGCAGGAAGCGTTAGTATGAAGCAAATAGCACTCAATAAACACATATTCTTTGTTAGATTTAAGCGACGATCGAAACTTGAAACTGGCGGTAAGAGAGAACACATTTCTGGGGAGATTCCTTTAGGGGACCTTTATATTTTATTTAGAGTTGTTCTAAGGTCAAGAATTAAGGAAGATGACTTGCAATTAGAATACTTCAGTGAATAGAGATTCCATATTGGAATGCATGAACAGAAAACCACCATGATTTGAATGAAGTGCAACGTACGCGAGGATATATCATACTTGAAGTTATCAAGGTAACTTTTACAAGAGTGCTCTCACCATCAGTTTCGATCGTATTGCAAAGAATGCTTAAAAAAGTACGCAAAATCTCCAAGATTTACCTGATACCGACCACCGAATAGCGAATGGTCTAAGAAAAGGAACCCAAAAAAAAAAAAAAATAAATAAATAAAAATAAAAAACCGAAGGAAGTCCAAACCACAGCATTTAAAAAAAATATCAGAATTCAGATTTAATAATACAAGAGGAAGAGGATGACCAGCATTGTAAAATGAGCTAGTTACCGGTACCGGTCATTTCCAATCTGATATTCACAGATATAGTGAAAAAAGAGCCTGCAACAGTCAGTATAAATGACGTATAATAGGTACACCACCTACACAATAGATTATTATTTGTTGTTGTTGAATAGTTAATAAGATGGAAATTAGCATGCGAATGCTGATATAATCCTTGTTCAAAAATGTTATACTGTCGGTTGCCCGGTAATAATAAGGCTTGACAATGAAAAATGCTACCACGGAGTGAAACATTATTACTGGCCGGGCAATTCAATAGAGAATAGGTAAAAAGACTTCATGCTGTTACATTATTTATCGAACATACATACACTTATTCTCGTCATGAACTAAAACAAGAAAAACATCATAAGAGTTACTAGGCGATGAAATTCGCTATAATTAATATAATAAGTGTAGCAGACTGATGACAGCGACAAATTGCGGTGGTATATAACTTAGGTCACATAGGATTGCAAGATTGTTCGTTAGTTGTTATAACACGATCCGGATATACTTACCTACGATCCGGATACTTAAACCGTACGAGCTGACACTATAACCGTGTGCGAGTTTTTTTACCATCAATTACTGGTAATTCCTACAGCTATCGTTGCCAGCCGCTGAATTGGATATTTCCCAATGTATAAGAAAACTAGAAATTAAAGATTGCAATCTTGCAAAATAACAAGCGTAACGATATTATCACGAGTTCGCCGTAAGAAAGGCAAGCAAGAATTACTCGAAACAGGTTCTTCATTGCAAGAATAACTCGAATGACCTATAGTATAAGTAAATAAATAATTACCAATAAAATGATAATCGTACTTATTTAGAATCATAAAATTTCTGCCTTAAAATCCCATATTTGCATTTAAAATTCTTAAAATATCTGCCTGCAAAGTCCCGTTAAAGTCTAGAAAATTTATCGCGAGGCTCAAAAACATCCAAGTCTTCCGTTTTCTTTATTACTGAGCCGCCCTTCCCACCTGATTTTTTATCCCTAGACAGAAGCACATTCACCCGAGTATAAAGATATATATCATAAGAAACAAGTTAGTCATTCAACTAACCCACGTTTTTTCGATGACGCGCAAAAAAAACCCACGGCGAGCAAATGGAAATGTGAGAAATCATGTTTGTTATTTATTTCTTAATTTTTTATTAATTAATAATGTTTATTAATTATTTCTCGTCGCGTTGCGGTGTTGTAAGATTTTCGCTGCTCTCAAACCGACTTTTGAAGTATAGGTTATGGGATTGAGTAACAATCCAGAAAACATCAGAGAATGACGTGGTCATAATTATCATGTCCGACAGCAGAAGCATCGTACATAATAGGCGACGCCATCACGCGTTTTTGATCAATCATTCGACGCTTCATTCAATAAATCACGAGAGCAAACGAAGCATTGCGTTAATAGATAAAAAAATTAGTTGATACATTACATATTAAAGTTGAAATGAAGTTTTTCAATGGACCCATACCCAATAAGAAGTATGAGTAGCTGATATTATACGAGTACCTATAATATGAACACAGCTCAGGAGTCAGCACGATTATCTATTCCTTAGCGATGTAATCATTCATGCTAGCACGTCAGTATAGTCAGCACCGCTAAGATAACTTAAAAAGATCTAACATTATACACATCATCACAGGTAGCAACCAATTCCTGACCAGCGTCATCAAACATTCAAATCGCGACATGCAAAAACGTCTTTAATCACCATTGCACCTTCATTTCTTTAGATTTCCCAAACTGAAATCATTTACCATTTCTAGTAAAAAATTTTACGCGCTCAAGTTTTTTATATTCACCAAATTCATCGAACTTAGTCGTACATAGACGCCAGAAAGCAGCAGTGGTGATATTAACTCCACGAACTTATTTGCCGGCAGATAAGACGTGGCTAATAAAGACTGACATGCAAGACATAACACGAGAATAATAGTACACATAAAAAATTGAGACCAGACATACCGACTTATACGGCGTTTCCGTTCCTAAATTTGTCAAATAAGATGGAACGAGCTATTTAAACAAGGTTCTGTCGAATAGAAATATTTCCCGCCGAATTTATTAAGCAATTATTCAATTTATTATAATTACCATAATATAATAATAATTAATAATGATGTTATAATTATTTATTTTAAAAACAATAATTTCGAAAGCTACACCGTGAAATGCCATCACCACTACAGCCAAACTACACAATTTAAGATCAGCACTCACGACGCTATTAGGAATCTGCCTCAGTCACCACCAATGCAAACTTTTTAACCAATCATTTACAATTTATACCGAACATTATTCCTAAAACCAAATATAGAAATCGTAAGTGACAGGTAAACTATTTCTCAAGGCAAAACACACAATCTCCAATTCATTTAATTACTACGCGGTAATTACAGAGGCCTAAAAATATCCATCACAACCATACCATCATTCAGAAGTAGAAAATATAATATCATTAGGAGGTTATGTCTTAACCGTCAGCTTAATAACATGGAATTGTAAAAAATGGAGAGCAGTCACTAGACATTAATGACAAACAAATAATATTAAAGTAAATATTAAATAAACGATTGACAATCATATGAGTGATTCTGAAATCATAGTCACGTTATTACTCTTCAATTCAACTAAGAAAACTCGGCTTGACCTCAAAAACACACATTCAATTATTAACGGCACAACCGGCCGTTAAAATTCATTAATTATACTATGTCTATAAATGCAAAGTTTTCCTTCCATTTGATCGCGTGTCCTTCATGTCCAGCAATAATTACTTAAATGCAGTTACCAGTTATGTAAACTGTCCCAGGTAGATTCATAGAAATGGTCATTAAAAAATAAAGAATATACATGCTACTGAAAATTGCCAGACTCCAGGAGCGGTCTAGCAAGGTACAAACACTCAGAAAAATGAGTGAGAATTGTCCAAATCGTCAAACACTTTTCGTCTTTAGTGTGGGTCATCTTGGCCCAGTTTGGCCCGGCAAAAGGGAGCGTCAGAGTTATGTCCGCCTTTTATTTACGTATTTAAACAATACGACCCTGCGTGCGTTTTTCGAAGTCAATTGAGGCAGCTCTCCAAAAGATGCTAATAAATAATCAGGCAGACGCTATTCCACTCGCATAAAAATTTTGCGCCAGGAGCAATTTCGGCACATCTAAAACAGGTATTAAATCATTTTATATGCTAACTAAACCACCGAAGAAACTGCTTCCAATAAAAGTTTTATCACGAATCAATTCAATCATAATACTTGACATGTCCAGCTTCTTCAAATAAATTTTAGTATTTCTAAGCAATGCCAACTGAT